ACAAGTTCTACCATAGGCAAATGCTTTGAACCAAGCAACCAAGATTTCTTGCACTGATTTTAGGAAAGGGCTTCCCTCTTTTGAAAACAAGATCCTTTCCCTGCTAGGCTTCATCGGTATTTCAAACCTCGAGCCGGTGGCAAAACGGCACCCTATTCCAAAGAATCTTTTGAGCTCTGGAAAACACCGGAGGGTCGTACCCTGACATCTGACATGGTTTCTTGATTGTTTGCATCAATTACACTAGACTATAGTATTGTATCTCAGAAGTCATGCCCAGGTGACAAGCTGAAAGCTTGGCTTCTTGAACACGGATCTTTGGAGGCCAAGGAAACCCATATCAAGCGGTGGTATACAAAGTCCAATGAGAAGTCCGTGAGCACTGCTTGGGTAACCAAACAATGGCTAATGCAAGAGAAGCATTGGACAAAGTCGGTTTTCAAATCTATGAGACGGCCTTCAATGTGCACATGCGTTAGCTTATCATACAAGCCAAATGACCTAGAAATCTTTGATATCAAAGTTTTCCTGAAGCACTTATTGCACATGCTCGATCTAATAGTAAATGGTTGTACCCGGTGATCTAGGCTACTTCCTGAAAAGCTATTACGGTCAATGTGCGGCCATGCCTTCACCTGGGCCAAGCAGAACGGTGTATGGCAAATCAACCCAATCCTTGATCATTGAACGATTGCCTAAAAAGGAACATGAGGGGAAGAAACAACCTTTGAGACCCAGGACCACCTGTATGATGAGAATTACTCTCTTAAGAGACTTGACCCATATGCATGATAATGGAGCACCTACATCATCCGACCATTTCAATCACCCCCTTCCAGTCCAGGATTCTGCAGGCGATTTCATCACCCAGGGCTTGTCCAGAGGAGGGCCAGCCTCGAGCGCTGCATCGGCTGCACTGGGGCTGAAACTTCAGCAACCGAAGGTTCTGGTTCCTCTCTCAGGCCCAAAGATTGTTGCTATAGCTAACTCGTTTGAAATGTGGGAGCTGCTAGATTGAAGTGTTACTGATGATCTCATGTTGACTTCCAAAACTGACCTGGGGCCCGCGCACAAGTAGTGCTATCAGGCTTGTAAATGCGCAAACATGATACATCTTGATGTTGAACTAAATGAGTATCAGTTTGAATGTCGCATATGATTTTGGGAGGCTGAAACAGCTCGACGCGTGGTTCGGCTCGCACGTGTTGCAAGTCGCAATATGCGCAAGAAAGGTTTTTTGGTTGCAGCCATGCATAATTTTTTCGCAAGAAAGAAATATGATCTCTGCAGATGATTGACGTTTTGAAAAAAACGCATGCATATATGCTATTATTGGAAATCTAAGGATCCAGAGACTTGATGTTGGAAGCACTGGCTCAGTGTGGTGCTACTTCGAAACCTTCGAATTTATCGTGGAATCTTCATCGGTTCTTGAGTAAAGAAAAGACAGGCCTACAAATTCATGTATCCAGGCCTAAAATCACTTTGCGGGTTAGATGCCGTTGAATACCCGATCGTTACTTTGAGCTCGTGGGCAAAATGCCTTTTGAATGAGTACCCTCACTACTTGTTGGGTGGCTGCAAGACACTTGACCCAAACATCTTCTGCAATATCTTGAGAACTTATTGGAGACTTTACAAGGAGTCTGATCCTTCTCACCCTTGTTTTCAAGAATTCAGCGATGAAGAACTTGGCTTCGCTATACATGGAGATGAAGGTCGTGGGAAAAACAAAGCACCAACTTTGGTGATTGCATATCAAGGTGTGATATCTGCACGCGGCATGCATGTGACAAATACCAAAATGTTACTTCCACGCACTACTTTGGGGAATGTGCTGTTAATTGAAAACCAACATCTTACATCTGCAGCCTATTTTTTGTCTAGATAGTCTTGATCTATTAGAAGATTCTATACAGTACGTACGCTGCTTGTATCTAGAAAGCATTCACCGATCGTTTGGCAAAAAAGAAAGGCACAGCTACAGCACACGGTGGCTTGCAACCTGCATCTCTTCCAATGTGATGGTGGAGAAGACTTGGGAGGACATTCATGAGTTCATTGCCGAGGACATGTACACTCTGTACTTTGATGGGTTGGAGCTTGGTGGAAATTTGCTTTAGGTTTGCATATGTTGGCGTCAAAGGCGATTGGCCGTGGTTGCCACTTGGACAACTGCTTTATTTGGCTGCCTTCAGAGCAGCAGAGTCGTATTCAGGGTGACCTCTAACCCCTTCAACTTCTGCTTTACCTGACAGACAAATGCAATCGCTGTTCAATCAAACGCAGGGTCAACACGTCTGAATGCTTTAGTTTCAGCTTTGTAGATCTAAGCTCTGCTTGAGAGGGCAGCATGAGTGCCTGGTCAATAAAACCTCAGACGGGTTGACATTTAAGAAAACAATCACTCTCTTCGAAAGGAAGTCATCAGTTCAGTTGAGCACCCGAAAAATTATTCTCCTTCTGCTCCACCTAAGCTCAACAGAAAGTGTGTCTTTCCACTTGGCTACACCAATGCACGACAAATGATCGTTTCAAGCAAACATGTCAAGCATGGTCACTGAGTAGTGAACCTGACTGACCAATACGCTCTGAAAAACTTCATGTCTCTTCGGCGTTCTCCTTCCACTTTAGTCATGGAGACAAAGTCTGGAGGTTGCATTATACGCGCAGCCTTGGTCTCGTAAATGGCTTATCCCAGGCAATGGTGCCTCAAATATCCTTGAAGTCAAAATCATAATCCGTGAGCGAGATGTTGTCCACCAAAGCCGCCCTTGGATGATGGCATGTTGCTGGAAATACCATGAAACAGCAGACGCATATATTACAAACCAGCCTGCAAAAAGAATCTCCAAGCCAAGCATCGTTCTCTGGCAATTTCACTGGCTCTGTTCAGAGAGACTGTTGCGATCTCGAAGCCAAAGCTCCTCTGAAAAGTTCCCAATGCATTCCATGCTTTACAGGCATCTGCCACTTGCATTGTCACCTGCAAAAACCTGTCAAAGTCGAGCCCTCGATGCTGACAAGAGGCGTGGGGAAGTTGTACAGTCCAGACTCATTCGTGCCACATCACTTCTAAACCTCAAAAGCAAAGCCATCCCGGTGTCTTTGCGCCGCCCGAATTTCCGTAAAGACCTCGGAAGACATCCAAACGCCGAGGTCTTTCAACAAGGGGTTGCGGTAAACCACCAAGAGTTTGTAAACGTTTCTAGTCCAGGCTGCGGCAAATCACCAGGGATGCATCTGCTGGAGGAGTCCATATGACAAGACCTCCCATCTCTTCATCCAAATCTCCTGAAGTCATACATGAAAGCCCACACGGTCTCACAAGTGACTGTGTCGTGTCCCATTGAGACTTCAAGTAGACAGTATAGATTGGAATACCGACAGGTCTGTGAAGGTTCCCTTCGCGGGTCGAACGTGACAATCTAAACCTCTTGGTCCTGACCTCACAATCCTGTCTGAGTCTCTAGTCCTTACAAACAAATCAATTTTATAAGGACTTCAAAGTCAAACGCTCGAGTTGTTGGGCTCCTCCTTCTTGCCAGGCTCCAAGCCTCCTTGGCGCTGTTCCTTAAATGTTCGATGCAAAGTGCAACAGTACTTTTCACAAAGTGCAAGTACTTAAAAAGTGAAAAAATGAAGAAATTTCAAATCTGCGGAAAGATTCTGATCATCATAACCTCAGTAAACTCCAGATCAAAGCGCTCTACGAGCGAACGAGAACCGCCAGGAGAAATCACTTGAGTTTTACAAAAGTGTAGCTCACGCGATTAACCATACGAGCGCGATCTTGTTCTTCTTGCCGGTTCCAAGCGTCTAGCACAAAGCCACCGATAGCAGCACCTGCGCCTAGAGCTGGTACGCTACCGGGCACGCGGCTGAACATGGCTCCGATACGCTGTTTCATCGCTGCTACAAGCCCAACATGACTTGGACACTCAGATTTCTGCGAAAAGAAAGCATGCAAAGAGCTGCTTGCCACTGCTTGCGAAGCACTCTCTGCCGGCCGGTGCCTCTTCCAGGAACTGCGAGAGCTCCGCACACGGCCTCGAAAAGCACGTACACTTGTAAATACACCGACTGCCGCGAAGTCAAGCCTACCCTGGCAAGCTACACTCCACCAACACCACTGCCACAGTCCCCACAGGCTTGCCGAAGGGGCGTTCGCAGAGCTCCACATGAAATGGCTGCGGAAGAAGCAAAAGCAAGCAACCATCACATGCAAAAATCCAGAAAATGCCCATGGTAAATCTTAGCCTTACCTGTTTTTATCATAGTTTCAATATGTTTCAATAGTTCTTTTTGTTAAAATTTGTTAATGCATCATATATGGTTTTAAGTTGCAGTCTACGTACACCTTTTGCACATGTATGTGCAATCAGGAGAAACTGTGTACACTACACATTCAATAAATATTGTGTTCCATTCCATGTGCAGCATGCGATGTGCGAGACATGTTTGCTGGTACCTGGTTGACTCCAGAGATCCGCTTGAGCAAAGGTGTCTTGAATGCAGGGCATGAGAAGGCCTACAAAAGAAATAAGCTTGACTCAATCAACTGTAAAACTGATACAAATGTAGTCAAAAACATGGCTTGACGAATTAAGCGCCCCACTATCTCAGCCGACGCGTTATTTGTCAGCCTTTGGCGGTTGAAAGGACACGCCCGCACAACAGAACCCTTTCAGGTCTGTAAAGCCACTGCAAAAGCACATAGGCTTCGCTCAGCCAAGAGTGCATTGCATTTGCAATGGTTGCCTTCTACAACCGCCTTCAGAGTTCACTAGCTCGCCTTCAGCCTTTCCTGGCCCGGGAATGGCTCGCATTGATGTGTTGTTTCCAGCATGAATCAACATGGGAAGAAAATACACAAGCAATCTCCTTCAATTTTTCCACAGCCTTCTTCCGCCGTCCTTGCCGCGCAAGTTGCAAGCCTGAGTCTGCATCGAATCCAACACCGCATTTCTGAAGTCATCTTGCCATCTCGGGTTCCGTACACTTCGTCGCTATTTCCTTCGCACGCGGGACGCTCTTGACAATTTGCGCCTGTCATCTCCAAGCGCAGCTATGGTGATGTCCAAAGGCTTGTCAACACTCAATCCCAAACAAGTCTCTCAGACCTGATAACCACGCCACTTGATTTTGAAGCGCTTCTTCTCATCCACAATCCTTGCCTGTGGTGGAGAAGTTTAACAAGCGCATCCTTCATTTGCAAGCAGACACTTGCAAGACTGAAAACCATGTGAGCATGTTGCAATCAGTTTGGAGGGTACGTTTTCTTTTGAAACCTACATGTAGACAACAGCTCTTACAGGAATCGGCACAAGCACAATTCCCCCCCGAAAGAGCTCAAGCTGAGTACGTAATGCAGATGCAGCACAGGCCAGGCCATCTTTTACCAGCCGCGGCTAAAACGCGTGAAAGGCTATGCCCCGCACCACTGCTTTGGCTGTCCCTTTTGTCTTCTTTGTAACCTTGCAGCCTGCTTCTGCTGAAGCCTCCTCCACTTCATGGCGCACTCGATATGTGCCAATCCATGTGAAACGGTTGGACTCATTGGGTTCAAAAGCGTATTACTGAAGGCCCAGCGCCTGTCTGAATATCTGAGGTGACACAGGTAGAGGAGGCGCTTCAAGGACATGTGCTTCCTCCGCGACAAGACATAGCTTGGGATGTGCATGCTAATCAAAGACAGCATTGCAGGTGTAGGCAGAAAACATCTTTCTCGCATGACTTGCGGATTTTTTGGATAGCGTGCTGCTTGTTTCATTCTTGGATGTGTGAAGCGTGCGGCAGTGGCCCGCCTGATCCTGCTCCTCAAACTCTTGTTGGTTTTTCCCACCATCTACTTGGAGGAATGCACGCAAGGCGCAATTATTGCACTTTGTGGGGGTAAGAACAACAAAGACTCCGCACACAACTGAACTGCAAGACATCAGTCAGATAGGGAGGTGTGGCTTTGGCAAACAATTAGGCGACAGAACTTATTCTCGGTGTCATTGCATCTTATGTCTTGCTCGTTGGCAGTGACAGCAAGTTAGCCTGTTTCACTTTTCCGTGCCCATCCCCCACTCTCGCTCGCTCAGGAAGGTTCTTTGCACAACACTTGTGGGTCAGATTAGTTTTGGTGTACCTTCTTTGAGTGCGCGCCTTGCTTGCTTGGCAGCGGCTGCTCGGGCCTTTGCAACACTGCATTGGTTTCACAAATGCTGTCAATACGCCCACACAAGCGCAAATCAAAACATTTTAGGTTCCGTGCTTTGAGGTGCAAGACCAAAAGCACGCAAGAGATCATGGCCAGACTAGTTCGCCCGTGCTAAAACAGACAAAAAGGTTTCAATGAATGGCATGTCCAACAGGCTTCAAACTAAATGATGTGTCGATGTGGTCTTGTCTAGTCTTGTCTGGATTCATCTGCCAATCTTGACAGCTGCCTTGCCGGACAACTTCTGCATAAACTCCTAGTTGATTTGTGCGGGGACCCTGCAAAATGCAGATGACACACTTGCATCAGCCCAGAGTACGACGCCCACTCCTTTTGTAAAGAGTCCTACACAAAACTCATGGTCAAGTATTTTTTGCGAACAAAACAGGCCAAAGCCTTCTCACCACTCTGCTTTTCATTGGCAGCTGAGGTGCAAAGCGTGAGAACGAAAATAGACATCAAATAGACACATGTGCAAGTTCCTTGCATTGCACCCGTCAGACCATGACAAGACTGCTTAGCAGCTTGCAACTGTCTTGCTGTCCAAAGGCCAAGACACAAGTGCAGAAAGTTGCGAAGGAAAGGCCCTGTTGGTTGAATATAAGAACAGCCATCTGTTTTTTGAATTCGGAACTACGTAAGTTTGCTTCAAATTCCGTGATGCCCCCAGTTTCTTCGAGCATGTGTACCACAAAAGACCTTGGTGTATCGCGTGGCTGGATTGGTCAAAGCCTCCGCATATACCTTTTTCTCAGGCACGTGCACAGAGCTTAAAGCAACAAATGATGTGACTGGCACTAGAAGATTCAATCCTGAATTGTTGGTGTAAGATCTTCTTTTGCATTGAATTCGGCTCACAGCTTTGCGCTCACCACCCTTGTCTTATTCACAGAAGCTTTGCGGTCAGCGGCAGGAGCCTGTGATGACGGCATGTGCTGACATGTTGCTGCGCGAAGAAAGAGAAACCAACAGCTCAAAATGGCGTCTGAGCACTGAGCACTAAATCCATGACGGACGATGCTTCGCACAGCAGCCAGAACCTACACTGCTGAATCCTTTCAGAACACAGCATTGAGGGTGACACAAGAAACGGTGCGAACGGGTCTTTCTACCCTGTGTCTGCACCGGATCGCTCTGCGCTCCTTTTTACGCTGCTTTCTCGCGGTGCTTGAGCCAAAGCATCGGTACATGCTATCTACTCTGTACTTGGCACACTACCGCACCTATGATAGATAATCTATGTACACGTTGGCTCCCATATAGTGCCTATTCGCACCCCCCATGGACGGTTTTCGGAGGAAAGCGGGCACCATCGAACAATTGGCGCTAGAATCCAGTTTCCCCAGTCTGCCGTGGGCAAGGCATGGGTACTCCCTTCATCTCTTGGCCCTATCATCAAAACTTGGTGAGACCTCTACTGTCGGCAAAATGCACTCAGGGACCAATCGTCCTCAGTAGATGATCTCCACGCTGTTGGTATTGGATCTAGTCCAATTCGCTCATGCTTCTCCCAGAAGCCTTGGGCGCGGCTTTGGTCTTTGCGGCTGGTGGCATGTACCCAAGCATCCTGTTTTGTGCATCTTGATCTAAGAATCGGGTAACTTGGATCAGTGATGCGGAATGACTCGTACTCCTCATTGTGTGGACGTAATTCTGGTATATCCGTTCCAATTTCGGAGTGAGGGTAAGCCCAGCATTGACCAATACCACGAAAGGATTCGACTGTTTCTTGTCGTCCTTCGGGAAGTTCATGATCGCTACCGCATCAAGGCATTTGTGATAGTTCCAGTTGATATCATTTCTTAGATATGCATAGGTTCTCACATCATATGCCACAGCGATGATTTTCCCAATGAAGTCGGAGATTGCCCGCCGTTCCTTCCGGACATCTTCAATCGTCCTTTTGCCCTTTTCGATATCTGTCTGTTGTGAAGCTCCCAATGTCGCTATGTCATCATAGTGAACACCGATCTTCACCATGGCTTTACACAGCTCTGACACAATCTTTGCTCCAGCGTGTTTTGACTCGACATCGGCACGGACTCCAGGATTCTTTCCGGCCATGGCGATGCATAGCTCCCATTCGGCATCAGTCCCCGGGTCTCTGAGTAGTCCAGTGCTGCTATCTTCCAGGAGAGGATACTTTCCATCAAGGTCCTGCCTGATCTTGGTGTCCCTTGATACCTGCATGTAGCTTGTGCGTTTCAACTCCACCATCTTCTTGACAAACATGCGGTATGCATACTTGACACAATTGTAGAGGGCTACATCGATCATCTCGGCGGCCTTCTGGGAAGTATCTGCATTGGATGCCCCGCGTTCCGGCATCGTGCACTCTCCTTGTGGGATTGGTAGGGCCCAGACTGGCAGATCATCGTCATCTTCGATCTCTCCAATCCACTCCGGCCTCTTCTCATCGTCTTTCGAAGAATCCTTCCCTTCTGAATCTACAGCTTCGTCGATTGAGATCTTCTTCATCTTTTCATCGAAGAGGGCCTCCTTTGTCTTGCCGTAATCGGTCGGCGGCTCCTCCATCTCAATCTCCTCGACATACTCTGGCTCCTCCGCAACCATGGATTCATCCTGTGCCTCGAGGTCGATCACTTCGATCACCGCATTGACTGTATCCTTCATCTCCTTGATGATCTTCGTGCGATCTTGCTCTCTTTCGGGTGATGTTGACCTCCTGGACTGATTCCTACTCCCTTCCGGAACAATCCATTGTCGAACTCCTTGGCTCACCAAAGTCCCTTGACAGCGAACACATATCACAAGCGTCGGAGACGTCTCATGCAGGCACGCCGGACAAAGTATCTTGCCAGCAGAGGTCGGGGTGTGGTTGAACGTGAGTCTCGCAACTATGTCCCCCCATGCATCATTCTCAGGATGAAGGTTGATCTCGCCATCTCTGATCTTTCCCCTCATCTCCTTGATGAAGTTGTAGTGATCCTTATCCCCGTTCCGGGCCATCAAGTACTCATCCACTCTCCTATGAGTGTTTTCTCATCGGCGACGAACAGCGGATCACTTACCTGGGTGATCAATTGCTTCTCACCTCCACGGATCATGAGGCGGTGCCATGTGCCCTTATAATCCTCATGCCACATCGCTCCGAACATATCCACAGGGATCTCGTTGAACGTTAGGATGCTTCCTGCAGCGGACATGTAGGTGTCACACATCGCGAAGAGCTTCTGGATTGGGACGTAGACCACAATCCTCTTCCCGGGCATGCGCTTTGCCTTGTAAATCATGTCCTTCCCGCGCATAGATCTTGGATCCCATGGAGCGAACATGGAGAAGTAAACTCCTAGTCTTGACATCTTTTGTGAAGACTCGTTCATTCCCAATGCAGTTCCTCCTTGCGTCAATCCTCTTTCCATGATCTTTTCCAGCACATCGAACGTAGTCACATGAAACGCACCACTGATTCGATGCGTTGCGGCCTGAGGGACACGGTAGCAAAATCGTCGATGGCACCTGAATGTCCGTACGGAGCCCGAATAGCCACAGGGTGTGACCATCCATCCGTCTTGACGATGTCCTTAGGATCCATCACTCCATTCTCAATCCTCCTTGCGCATACTGGATCCAGTTGGTCGGTGACCCTTATTGCTGCAATCTGGAAGCGCATCCTCCCATTCACCTTTCTCTCATACATCATGCATGTGATCATCTTATTGTACCGGCTGACCAAGACATCTGAGTTGATATCACTGCCTCCACGAGTCCTGCAGTATTGATCGTCCTTCCAAATTCGATCGTTTTCAAGTAGATCTCGGATGTTGACCCATGCACCCTCATCGCACCGCGTCCCCTTGTGACCCAGCCTGTTGGTCATCTTTCCGACATCATGCCGGAGGATAGTGCTAAGCAACTTCGAAAACTTCCAATCTCCAGGCAAATAGTCACTTTCTTTGTACACAATGGCGCTCTTCACTGCAGCCTCGCCGTGTAAAATCTGGTGGAGGCTTGTGGCAAATCTGGTGAAGGCTTGTGGCTTGCGGCAAATCTGAAGCCTTGTGAGTGGCAAATCTGGTGGAGGCTTGTGGCAAATCTGGTGAAGGCTTGTGGCAAACCTGGTGAAGGTCTGGTGAAGGCTTGTGGCAAATCTGGTAAGAACTTAATCTTTGAGACAAGCATGTGACGTTCCACAAAAGTCTGGGCGGAGGGCGGGCCCGGATTGGAGGCCCCGGCTGTGGGTCCGGAGGGCCCCGGACTGCCTGCTAGTAGTCATGTGCTTAAGCCACGCGTGTCTCAGCTTAAGATTTTACACGGCGAGGCTGCAGTTATAGCTCAGTTGATGGGCACTGCTACATGTAATTCTGCAAATCCGGGCCTGGAGATCCCACCTCCAGTCAACCAACTGGCAGCATCGCGTTGCTTGCATTCAGGACAGACAACGGCTGTCGTTGAATTCTCACCTAACGTTGAAATGCACCCTCAGCCCTCAGCATCACAAGTTCTTTTCAATGTTTGCCGGCTTCAAGAGCCTCATGCCACCTAGGCAAAATGACATCTTTTGGTCGGCAAAAGGACGTCTTTTACCTTACCGCAAATTGACAGAAAAAACTTCAAGATCATTTTTTCAATGCTTGCCAGTTTCAAATGCCCCATGCCACCTAGGCAAAATGACGTCTTCTCGTCGGCAAAAAGAAGTCTTTTACCTTACCACAAATTTCCAGAAAAACTTTAAGATCCTTAACAGCAGGCCAGGTTGTCATGGCAGGC